ATATCCTGCTCTGCGCCCCGACGCGTCGCGGCACAGTCGCAACTTTGGAAGGCTCCCCTAAAGTTGGTGTTTTCCTTTAATTCAAACTTCATATTCTTTTCTTCCACAAATACAGTTCATTTAAAGATCAAATACACACAATTATTGTTTGCATGTACAGTGAGTAGCCTTCACAATGTACACACACCGTAGAGCCTTTCCAAACAGGGAAAAGTACAAAGAACAGAACTTTAAGACTTTACCCAAATCTATGAATATTTGTAACTGTAATAAAATATGATTGTGACCGCTTCTGGCATGACAGCAAGATGAATGAGCAAATCAGTTTCAATCAGTTTCAGGCCATATTTGTTAACAATTGTTACAGTATATTCTCATTTTCCCTCACCCCTTTATTTCTGTGAATACATGCCTCTCTAACCTGTATCTCTTTGGTTGCTTTCTTCGCCTCTCTGCATGGTCAATCATTTGCCATATGTGCGATTTTTGCACAAAATAATAGGCGCCAATTGATGTAAACATTGCTTGAGCAACGCAATGTCTTTGCCACATACACATTTCTGGTGTTGATTAGCTCCATAACAGCCGTTTTGATACCACCGGTATAAAATTAATCTTGCACTGGGAACTGTTAAATAACACTGAAGTCAGAGTGACACAGGAACATTATTTGTATGGTATGTATAGAGTTAATGTTGCGCTAAGTTCCTCTCATCCCGTTTGTCCTGCTTTCTCTTATTCCCTCTTTCTATTGGTTCACGCCTCCCCCTCCCCCTCTTATAGTCTCCTTCATTGCATTCATTTCTTCTCTATCTCTCTTCTGCCATGAGTTGTCTTTCTTTGTTTAACCCTTTCTCCCTATCCTGTGAGCAAACGGAAGGGAAGAACAGGGTGAAATGCGATGAGGAGAAGTCCCTGGTCGTTTCCAACATTTAAAAAAAAAATTAATGCTGTTTTTTCACTATTTTTGTTATTACAGTATTAGTATGGAATATTCTAATTTGAACTTTTTATGGAATAGTCTATTTCATTCATCATGTTCGTTGAAAAAAAGTGGTAGATTTTTCAATCACTACATCACAAAAATATCATTACCAATTGGCAATTCCGAAATTCCAAATTATATGGGTAATGAATACAATTCGTCGCTGTTTTCACGAAGTGACGGTAGTGAAAAAAAATTGCATTCACTTTGCGTTACGATTTTCCTCACTACCGTCACTTCGTGAAAACAAGGACGAATTTTCAAAATTCATAAATTTCCAATTTTCTGTTCAAACTTTTACACATCTGCTCCTTAGGTATTTCTCGATTCTTTAAGAGCAACTTGCTATTAAAGGGGAAGTCCACTGGATTTTAAGTTGGTTTTTTGAATATCAAAGCGGGGGGGGGGGAATGAGAGAAACAAATTAGTGATAGTTTGAGCAATAGCCGATTAAAAATAGAAAAATTATGATTTTTTGAAGGTGCAATCTATTAAACACCAATTGGCAACTGGATTTCCCCTTTAAGATTGGATTCAGACTTATAAAAAAATGCGCCCCATGCCAAATCAAACTTGTTTAGATCATGTTTAAAAATCATAACTTCCTTACCTTATACAAATGTTATCTCATCAGATTTTCTTACACTTTAACACACTGTATCTTCTTAAATATCATCATAACTTATATGTAATATTGGGTTGCACTTCCCTTTTTATGTTTTTAAAGTATCATTTTCACCAAGGACAGCCCTTTTAGAATAATCTTAAACATCCAAATTACAGACCCCCCCCCCCCCCCCCCATGTAAACAAATCTAGATCAGAGACCAGGAATCAATTTAAACATGCCTGACCACTTTTTTTTCTTGGAGGGGAAGGAAGGAGTCTACAATTAGGAGAAATCTTATGACTAAATGACTCTTAAAGGGATAGACCAGTTCTGGTCATGTGATTGCATTGTGAAAGAAACGTTGTGGAATCGATCAGAAAAAGTTGATCATCTAGCATATAGATATTGGTGTGTACTGCAAGGTTCCGGAATCATCAAAATGATAAGAAATTTGGCCCAGTCTTGGTAAAGTTACAAGCACTGTACACATACAGATGTATATGGGACTACGCGATATCTATCCAGTCCGGATAGATATACAAATTTACCAAATATAACAATTAGTAGGCGGTTTCCCGGCAAAGTTTGTATAATCACGTATTAGTCAAAACATATTCTTTCACATAATTGGTAAGAAGAGCTTCCATTTCATTTTTTGACAGGGGGGGGGGGGGGTGCGTTTCCAAAACTGGTTATACCCTTAAATGTAACAGAATGAATATCAAACAAGAAAAAAAAGTTAATACTGTTATCACAATGATTTATATTTTTGGAATTTTTTTTCTTCTTCACAATAGCTCAACTCTGGTTTTCCAGGTTGCCAGGAATTGTAGAATACCTTAGTTTCTCTCTCTCTCTTTCTCTCTCTGTCTCTCTCTCTGTCTCTCTCAATTTATCTTTCCTTCCCCCAGTCTCTCTTTCTCTCTCTCTCTCTCTCTCTCCCCTTTCTCTCTCTCTCTCTCTCTCTCTCTCAATCTCTTCCTCCCCATCCCCTCCCTCTCTCTCCCCCCTCTCTCTCTCAATGTACTAGTTAATCATGTAACTAAATAAGCTTTTACAAAGCCAATACAAATGATGCACAAGGGTACATCGCCATAGACAATGAAGGTTGATTTTTTTTTTCGAAAGTAGTTGCTACCATGTAAAAGGTAATCATGATTCTCTGTCTTATTAAATGCGCTGTAGGAACACAATTTGAACATGAGCATTTTTTTTTCCTTGTACAAAGGTCCAAATGGCATGATTGTGACGATAACATAGAGAGAATTGAAAGCAGATTGTATTTTGTCGACAAAGCAATATAAAGCGCTTGCTTTCAATGGCAAGCTTGAGTAATAACTAATTCGCATTCAAAAAAGAAGGGAAAAGATCTCATTCAGACTTAGATGCAATGTAATAACCTCCTGCAGTAGGGAAGCAATGAAGCGATTGTAATGATACCACACTACAAACACAGGCAGCGTGTGAAAATCATGGCTAGAATAATCAGATTCCAATTGCAGTTAATGAGCTCGAAAAGTCGCTATATACATGTATGTACACCATGAGGAAATAAAAGACGAAGAGAATGGAGCAAGGCTCAAACCATATCTTCAAGTGTTGTCCTCATATCCTCCTGGCAGCGATTTTCCCAGGAAGCTTCCTTGGGTAAATCAGTTGAACCGCCTCACAGTGGGCCAGAATCGCCTCAAAGTGTGCCAAAATTCAAAATTGGCGAATGTGAATTTTTATATTTTTTTCATTCGCTTGGGGAAGAAAACATTCTAAAGAATATCTTTCCACCCATATTTTAATATTTAGCGAGTTTTAAAAGTGTCATATACCCCTGCGAACATGGGAAAATCTATATGTTGCTCCAAAAATGATAAAAGTGGCAACTTTACAATAGGTGTTGAGAATTTATGAAGGGAAAAGCAATCAACTTGATACTGCGTGCACTTCTTGCCTATTGGTAACCCAATTAGAAAATACAATGACCAAATTTATGGAAGCTTCATTTTGGGAAAAATAAGCATTAAATTAAAAAAAAAAAAAAAAAAATTGCAATTTTTTATAAAAGTAGCATGTTTATTAGGATTCCGGCCGATTCCCGCAGTGATGTTAATCTCAAAATGTCCGCCCAAACCTAAGCTTTCCATGTATGGTATTTCTTTTTGCGATTATTTGCTACACTGCATGTGCAGGCACTTTTCCTCCCCACGTCCATCGATTATTATTAGGCATAATCGGTACACATTTGTACTGTTTCGTTTACGCACAGCCGATTCAACGCTCGTTCGCGTAACCATGGCAACGCACAGTGGGCCAGGGAGGAACCAAAGTGCGCCAAAACTCATTTTTGGTGATATATTTCTCTTCAATTCTCTTCTTGACCAGTTGAACAGTAATACATTGAGGAATACCTCAGTAAAATATTTAATTCCGGTAAGCACAACTAGGGAATAAATTTACTCCTTCAAACAGCAAAATCCTACATATTCACAGTTTTAGTGCAAAAGTGACTTATTTTATAAATCTTTCAATTTAACATGAAGTTCTTAAGTTATTGATATGAAATTGCTCTCACATATTCCTGATAGTTTATTTTGTTGCATGAATTGGTTAAAATGTATAGAAACACAATCTTCATGATATATCAAAGGTTAATTCACTGAAAAATTGACTAATTATCCATGTTTTTTATAAACCTTGAGGAAACGTTTAGATTTCCGCAGAGTTCCGCTTATATTTTAATACCACCATTTTGTCTGATGTCTAAGCTTTAAGTTGATACCAAATTTGGCTGCCCGATCTTGCCCGTTGTCACGTTAGAGCCGATTCCCCTTGCCACATTGTCCCGAAAAATATGTTTGTTTTTAGTCCGCGGCTGAATCATGAAGGATTCGCGGTCATAAATCACGGCGCTTGGGGGCGCGTGACACTTGTTCTGACACCGCGGACCAAAATAAACACATTTTTCGGGGCAATGTTGCAAAGAAAACGGCTCTAACATAATAACGGGCACAATCGGGCAGCCAAATCTAGTATCAACTTAAAGCTTAGATATCAGAAAAAATGTTGGTAATACTATTTAAGCGGAAATCCCTGCACTGCTAAAAATATTGGGCAAAAATTTGCCCAAGCATTGGTCTAATAGTCAACCCAACCAACTGTTGGGTAATAAAGGTTTCATTGAAATTGGGCAACACTATTGCCCAACAAAAGTTGCTTCTTGCTCAACAGTTGGGCAAGGTAATGTGTCAATTGTTGGGTATAATTATTTGCTCATTCGTTGGGTGGGTTGAAAATGGATTAATTGTTGAGCATTATGCTTTGCCTATCAAATGGGGAAAACTTGCCCAACATTATCCCAACACGCTTCAGCATTGCAAGTGAATGCATGGAATAATATAAAACATCACACGTCTTTCTTAGGAATACTTTGAAGTCTTTATTAAACCTCAGTATGTAAACAAATAGTTTGCAACACTTCTCATGAAAAGGAATACTTTGACAATGATTTTCATAAAATAGTAAATACAACATAATAAAAATATGCTGTTTAGCATTGGTCTCATGCATGATCATTATATAGCAAAATCAAACTCACTATATAAATTTGTGATTTTTGTTTCTTAAAAAAAAATATGCTTCTTTGCCAAAATGAATGTGACTAAATTACAAACTGTATCTCTCATCAGGAAACATGATTCAAATTTTGTGGAAAAAAAGATAGAGGAATGTACCTATATGCTTTGGAGGGGATAACTCATAATATGAAATTTGCATTTCACACATTATGAAATATTAATTTTGTGACATCAGTTCTGGAACTTTTCTGACACACCTCATAAATAAAAGAAACTTTAAGTTTGCATTATAACTCAACTATTTGAAAAAAATGTGGTCCATAACAGAGAATAGGGAACCAATGCAAGCCTTGGCAATGGAAAAAGTGGTCCAGCCCATAGTAGCATTATCAAGCTAATACACACTCATGTCTGATATGGTATACAGCAATGCAAATGAAACAACAAACGAACAATAACAATGCAACAATCATTTTGACTTATGTGCCTTTTACATACAATGAGCTTGCACAAGTTACGCAACTTTTAAGAATACATATAACGTTCAACATTTCACTTCTTTCTACCATTTAAAGCAAATATAACACTGTCTCCTGAAATAAGTTGCATAAAATCTATCACTCATTTTCATGGCATACGTCTCATATTTAGTACCTGTTAAAAAAAAAAAAAAAAAAAAAAAACTGTTGCTACTGTTCATCTTTAATTGAAGTTACCACCAGAGTGCAAGATAATACTTTTGTAAGAGTGAAGCAGAGATGTGTACAATTTCTGGACTTAACTTGGTCTCATATAACTATCTTTAATTAATCGTTCTGTTAATAAGTCCCACTAGAGTACAGGCAGATTTTGGGGGCCGAAATATTAACCCTATATAAAGAAGTTGTTATAACAGAAGAATTGAACAGAGTTATAGAACCAAATTAATTCCAAACAATTGTTTCAAGTTTAGTAGATCTCATTGGCAACCAGTTCCAACGTTTCTGATATTTTGCATGAATGAAGAATATACTATTATAATGACATATACATGTTTGTGAACACTAGAAGTTGTAGGTTGTAAAACATTTAAATGAGACATGAAAATCTCAGTTATTCTTTTCTTTTAATGCAATGAGTTACAATTTTGCTCGATTATGGTGCCCTCTGACCTCTGACACATATATTACACAAACCTTTCCTCTCAATTTCAGTTTAAAAAGGAAGATTGTATTTTGTATTTGAATATCAATGACTTTTAAACCTAGCAAAATAGCGCACTTACAAATCAGGACTTCTGGATATAAAGTCTTTGAAGTGCACATACTGTCGGTGGGCTGATAAAACCTTGTATCTCAAAAATGTTAAATGTTCAGGAGAGCCAAAAGAGATGGCTGTCTTAACACTAGCCTTCTTTTTACCATGTCACAGTTTCTCTATCTTTTCAGATTGAAATGTAAAATTTTGACAGAACTAAATCTGGTTTTCTTGCCACAAGGTTCTATAATGAAAGAAGAAGCTGAAGTTGGACTATTTAGAACTAGTTCAGTATGTGTCTCTTAGAAGTTTTTAAAGCTTTTAATACAGTAATTGTAATGGGTGGAGGAAAAAGGCAAGTTTTTGATAATATCCACTGAGTAATTGACATAAATCTGTTTCAGTTTATCAAATTTCCCAACAAGGTTTCAAACTGAAAGGAAAACTTAACCTCTAATTAATTAAAGAATTCATCTGCATAATAGAAACATGCAGTGAATATAAGGTTACTGTTTACTTTATACATCATTACAAGTGCATCATTGGACAGGACAAGTCTGGTATGTTACACCACACATCTTCTGTACAAAACTGACTCATATTCATGTTTTCTTTGAGAAGAGATAAGCACGGAAACTACTCAAGGCAGGGGTGTCTCTGATACGCTTGTCATCTTGTTCATAGATCATCTTTTGGAAGAAGAGCCAGGTTCCTTCTACGTTGCTTTGATAAGCACAGTCTATGATGAAGTGTGCTTTGTAGCACACATCTACTGCATCTATAAGTGACTTGTGAGGGATGCACTCCTTGTCAATCACCGTGAAAGTCTGCAGAGGCCTGAGCTTGGATAACGAGAACAGTTCAATGATGAAGGGTTGGGGACGGGTAGTTGGGTCAATCTGTTGCAGGTATGATGGCATGTGAGTGGTTTCCTGAAGAAGAAGAAGAAGAAAAAAAAAAGACTTATTATATAGTAGGGAATATAGCAGACACACTTTATCAGGATGCCAATTAGCATTTAATGGGAACAAAATTCCCTAATGAAAGTTTACAAAGTTACTTGTTTGCTGAATGTTCAAGCTTTCAACATCCACTGTTTCCAAGTCATTCAGGACTTGTTTAAACAAATTGGTCAGAACATTATTCATCAGTTCTTCAATCTCTCTTACAAGTTTGTCTATGTATGTATGAGGCACAGCAGATGCCTTCAAGCTAGTAAGAAAGAGAAAGAAAGTCTCTTTCAGTGTATCCAACATGTTCCCTGTTTCTTTCTGAGTAGTGCATGTTTCAGCATCATCTGCAGACTCATCTTCAAAAATGTCTTGATAAACTGTTTCATTTTCAACTGACTGAGATCCTTTCAAGTCTGAGCAGTGCTTTGACAAAATATGTCGTTTATATGATGAAATGTATGTAAATGTTTCAGGACATCCATTTTGACTACATATCACAAACACTGACTTTCCAGAAGTTAGTCCATGTATATACTTCAAATGTTTGAATAACTCATCCACCTCCCCTCCTACGTCACACAAGCATCTGAAGCAAATCATGTTAGCGTATATGAAAAGTTAAGAGGCAACTGAACTCACATATTGACTCCAGTGATTCTTGAATTTTAATCTTGCCCCAAGCTTTGGGATCAGCACTTCAATCATTTCATCTGACAGGAGGGCAGCTGCTTCAAGGTCTATCCCATTTTCTGTGAAACAAAGCAAGACGATGTGATTTTGGTAATATTTCATTTATTAGACAGGTCTACTAAAAATGAATGTTGACTTAATTCTAGCTGTTCAGGCGCGGATTCAGGGGGGGGGGGCGGACGGGCCCGCCCCCCCCCCCAAAAAAAAATTGTTTTGGAGAATGCATGTTTTTTATGTGTTTGTTGGCTTGAATTTTTGTTTTTAATGCTTATAATACCACCCCCCCCCCCCCCCCCCCCCCCCCCACTGAGAGCACTTTCAGCCGACCGGATTATGACCATAAAAAATATTGTGTGTAGTTTTTTTGACGGCCAAAGGACCAAAAAAAAAAATCATGCCCTACCCCTCCCCCCCCCCCCCCCCCCCCCCCCCCCCCCCCCCCCCCCCACTGAGAGCACTTTCGAGCGGCCCGATTTTAACCCCAATTCGGGGTCTACCAAAATCTGAGAATCGGCGATCTGCCCCCCCCCCCCCCCCCCCCTCATGAAATCCAGGATCCGCCACTGCTGTTATGTGTAATGATTATTTTAAAGTGCAATATATCAGATATCATATGTTGATGCTTTGAACAGCGGTGGGGAGAGAAATTGCCTTTCCTAAAAATTGGTAAGGCAATATTGAGGCAATCTTCAGTGTGAATTAACCTACTCACACTCTATGCTTGACTCGCTTGACTGGCGTGTGGATCGAAAGACATCTGTGATTCTGTCTCTAACAAGGGGAGCTGACCGACGAATGTCAATACCGTAAAATGAGAAGCCCCCGAGGAAGCGACAGATCTAGTAATATCAGTCAAAGTTTGTACATTCCCCAATGATATATATACATTTACAATCCACTAACCATACCAAAAACGGTAAAAGCTGAAAAAAACTATAGCTACCAATCCTTGCAAGGCAATAACAAGGCCTGGCCGGCTGGCCTGGGGTGCAAGGCTGCAGCCTCAGCTATATAGCCAGCCAGGCCCAGGGCCTCGTTTCACACAACTTTTCTACAGGCTAGATTGTACACATATTAAAGTACACGATTTACCATTAATCATTGAACTACGATTGATATCAATTATACAATCAATAGGTCATTATAATCGTAACTCAAAGCCTCGATGGCAAATCTTACAACTTGCGATTTCTAAGTTAGATCTACTCTGGCCTTATGAAACTGAGCCAGGCACAGCCATGCAGTCAACACACTGCGGTTTAATAGGTTAAACTGTCTCAATCAAATTCTCGAGACTTCAAGTTCAAATTCGTTTAAACAACCTTTTTATATACAAGATTGATTATTAGATAGGTACCTTTGAAGATATCTTGCATCCCTCTTAGGCCCCAACCGATAAGAAGCTGGTCCATAGATGACTTTTCTTGTTCCTGGTTGTTTACTCTTGATCTAGATGCAGATGGTAGTCTAGTCTCCCCGGCTAGTCTCGCATGCATGCACGGTACTCGCATACGGTGCCGGTAGAGTGCGCTGCGAGAATGCATGTATTATGCTCGTGCAATTAAAATGGCATGGCCGGGGCGATATCTTGTAGACACGATTTGCTAAATAGTTGGATAAGCACTTGTGCTTTGCCCAATTAAATAGGAAAAATTACCACACCACGGTATTCAAAACCCAACAGTTGGAAACGTACACAAATACAATATATCATCATATTATTGGTCAACTTATGCCCAATTATGTTGTAAAGATATTTGACCAACAACAAATTTACCCCATATTTTTTGCAGTGTGGACATCCAAACATTTCCTATGGATTTATAGAAAATAAATCCCCAGAAATTAGTTTTGGCACACTTTGGTTCCTCCCTGGCCCACTGTGCGCCTATGCTACGATCAGGGGCAGGTCATTTTCTAGCAAGCATAAATCTTTGGAGTCTCTAAGACTCTGTCTGACCTGTTGCCATGCTGTGGTCAAATTCAGAATGTTAAACACAACCAAACGATAATTGAAATAAATATTTCAGATTTAAAAAAATATGTACTCATGTCACACCTGTGATTAGCACACAACCAAAACTCCAATTTTAATACTTTTTTAATACTTGTTAATACTTATTATATCATCTGAATAGAATTTGAATTGCATTTTATCGTAGTTTTTCCTATGTTACAGTTTATTGAGTTTACGTATGTGTATACCTTTTATTTGTCTATGACAATTATTCTCTCAGTAACAAAACTGAAGGCCTTCGTTTCTTTATTTTTTCTCATAAAACTTCAAGCTATTTTATATATGAATTACTTTATTTTCAGTACACTCACCTGACATGCTAGAACTTAGAAGTACCCTGTTCTTGTATATTTTTTTTAAATTTTTCTTCTGGTTTTAAACATTTATTTATTTTTATACATTTTCCCCATTTGCTATGTTTTTTATTTGTATATATATATATATATGTTTTTGAATGACCCTAAAATCCTCTCACTGATATTGATAACAAACAAGGTGGTGTCATTTTCTAAGTTATTGTCAATCTTAAATAGCTATGATTGATAAAACGAAATAATAACAACAACAATAGTAATAATACTCATAGAAACATAGGGCTGCTGCTTTTTGGACGCGGCACGATCATATGTGTAACCCCAAAAAGTAGAATCAATAAAACAATAGATGGTTAACAAGGTTACATTTACTTTCCTCCACCACTCCGATACCATCCCCTCCCTCTCCCCTAACTCTCTCTCTCTCTCTCTCTCTCTCTCTCTCTCTCTCTCTCTCTCTCTCTTTCTATCTCATTCTCTTTGTCTCCCCTTCTCTCTCTCTCCCGTAGATAAATCCATTATGATTTTGTTTGTCTACAGAGCCCCGATTGAAGCATTTCAACGCACAACATAATATGCTACTTTGGGAATGTAAATCAAGCAGACAAGAATACATTGGACAGTACTAAGAGAATAGCACAACGTATAATTGGTAGTAGTCTACATATAATATGTACGAGGAAATAGTAGAACCTAAATACGTTTGGCAGAGAATGTCCTGCCAAAACTATAGTAGAAGACATACTGATAGCCACCAAACAAATTCATCCTTGATGTAGAACACTCCTGACATTCAACTATAAGGTAATAAGATTCAACACGGTAATCTCCTCACTAGAGATTCACCATACCCCCCCCCCCCCCCCATAGACGTCTTCGAATTTGCCATCGAAACAAAGGGAACATAAAAGAAAACAACTGAAAGGGAGTTTTAGAAAGGGAAAAGGGAAGGGAAGACGGAAGTAATAATAAGATAATTGACAATATTCCCTTTCACCCTCCCTATTCAAGCCCTTTCATTAATTCCATTCATCTGGTAGACACTTGAACCTTCTCATCCAACAAATTTACCAGAGACGTCTAACAAGAGCAGGTCTTTCCTAAATCATTTGGTAATTGATTGTCTATCCTGTTTAACGTACTTTCTCAATCGCTTCGTCCCACCTCCCAACCCCTTCACCTTTTGCGCTTTTCTAGATGTAGACCACTGCTCCTATCGCACCCAAGCTAGCACTCTAATTTGTTTATTATTCCAGCTAAATAAATCTCCCTTTGTTCATAATAACTTATTTACCCGAGCATACAATCACTAATATAAAGTGGGGGCTCTGTGAAATATTGGTAAAGGCTCTTGACTCTCATATGAGAGGTCCCGGGTTCGATTCTCGCTCGGTGATTGCATCCTTGGACAAGGTGTCTTATCTACATTTCTACCTCTCCATGCCCCCGTGTGTAATCAATGGGTACCTGGATGCAATGCCGATGTATTAATAATTGTCGAGCCCGCACTAGGAGCAGTATTTATGATGTTGCTACCTCAGCTGTATAAATTGGACCATTATATCACCGTTATACCCACTGTGTTGGGCAAGTATGATTATATGGTCTTATGTTTTCTTTATTGTCAATGTAAGTTTAGTCTTCCGAATGAGATATAGTGATAGCCTCAATAAACGTGAACAAAATGAATTTCATGCTTTAAGAATAGAATAATAGAAGCAGCCAGTAAGTTCAATACAAACCTGTTGTAGATGAAATAATCCATATTAGAGTCAGAGGCAGGAAAATCCTAAACCATCCAAGTACTGAATCCCTAGACATTGTCAATATCACAGAAACACAGAAACTTAAAGAGTATGATGCAGTTTATCGTTTTTCTTCTATGTTCATTGCAAAAAAGATTGCGCTTGAAGTTATATCCACTAACACCACTAATCGGAGGGAGGTGGTACGTAAATGTATGAGAGCTACTGGGGTATGATGAGATGTACCGCGCGAAGTGAAATAAATCATAGTTTCGATGATACACCTGTACGTTTGTGGTGGAACGGTGAGTAGGTTTCTCTTTGTGAATCAGTTGGGTGAAACGTGGACAAAGGCACACCAAAAAATGCTATTTGATCATCAGAAAATTCCTCAATCAAGGTCATATTTGCACACCATGACGAAGGAAAGCCGAGTATACTGTATAAGACTTATTTGTACGAAGTTACTTCCGCTTTCCATGCTCATCGTTTTCTAAAAGGGTGCTCATGAAGTAGAATCCCAACATCGACGGCACAGCTGAAATAACAAATACATCAACCTGTAATAACGACGATTGATACTTTGAATGTAACTGTCCATGTCAATGAAATGAGTATTAACCTGCAGATTCCATCATACTGCGTAATTATCCATTTCGATTTCATCAGAAATCTATTGCACAGTTTAATTCAATATCCATGGAAATGCTTTCTGTACCCTAGTACGATCCAATCATCTACACGTGATAGTAATTCTGCTTTCTTTTAAACGATGCCATCTTCCTAAAATAATGGCCTAAGTCACATTTTGAAGAAAATTATATTTTTGCACAAGTCATCTCTTAATGAGTGTCTGTGTAATTGGGTTTTTATAGACGTGTATCAATCAGATATGATTATTTACGTCTGGGGACCGACCTTTAACATCACCATCCGAAAGACGGAGGCTGTCCACCTTTCTATGACATCATGTGCTGAATTGAACAAATTCATGGTGCTACCCAGTTAGTATAATAATAATAATAATTATAATAATAATAATAATAATAATAATAATAATAATAATAATAATAATAATAATAATAATAGCCTAATAGTCCACTCCAAATTTTATTAAACCGAAACGGAAATTCTTTTTGCTTTTTTACTTTTGGGCCTACATTGTTATTTGTCAAGAAATGTGACTTCGATATCAACGAAGACGACTGAGAAACATAGGAGAACTTGTTATGAAAATGTGTTCATTTCCTTCAATTATATTGTTTGTAGTGGGAATAAATGAAATGAACTGTTTTGTCTAAGTCAATACTCCAGGATTAATTCGACCTAAGTCAGGTGTAAACTTGCTTTGATAAGTCACAACGGCATGTTAGCAAGTAATATAATCGTCTATTGAAACAGATTTGATAGACAGCATTATTTATATTTCAATATTCATATATCCCCAAACCTTTCTGTGTAAAATGAGCAAAAACATATTATTAATTGTATCATGTTTAGTTCAGTTTTCTCTGTTTTTCTCAAATCTTGAAAATATGACTTAGACCACTATTTTAAGAAGGTGACGATATTCATACTTCATGAGGAGCGCTCTTAACTCTTTGGTTGGTATTATTCTAATTTATATAAACCCGAACCTGTTTCTAGGACTACGTGTAACAAAAAGTAACGTAGACCTCAGACTAACTTCCTTTGTTAAACCACATTTGGGATAAAAGCTTAAACAAATAGGTGTCGGGTTCTAATTTTAGTAGAATACGGGACGAAGCTTCTAACCTTTGTGTCATTTCATATTAAACAGAATGTGAAAATAGATGGAAAAGCAAAATTTTCATCTATGGTCTATTGATAGTAACAAAAATATGAAGATAGTACTTGTTATCCTCAATTCCATTGATACTTGTGTTGAACTTATTGCGAGTAATGTTTACTGCGATCTGGACCCCGCCTTATAAAGAGTTGTGATTGATCCAAATCAATCGCCAGTCCTCCAATCAATCGCAAGTTTGCAGTATCATATATCCTATGTACATAGTTGCGATTAATATCAATCGCAAATAAGATGCGATTAATATTAACTCTTTATAAGACGGGGCCCTGGTGGTACTTGTTGAGGAATATATACATAAGCTTAGTTTTTTCGACTCGGTAATATATCATTATTAATAATTATTGATCTATGAAGAACTGTATCAAATCTGGTATTCCTGGACTGTGTACCGCTTTCTTTCCACAAAAAATTGTGTTGGTTGTTTCGCATATAATAAGTGGCTATACTGATTGTATGGACGGATACGCCTTTTATTTCCTGCATTTAATCATAATTATGGACCATGTAATAACATATTGACTGTAACAAGAACTATTAGAATTGTGTTTATTTGCACTGTGTACATCTTATCATTGGGCATGTGCATTTATTGTACTGGTAGACATAAGAACACTTTACTGGGCTGCAGGCGCGTATGCAGGGGGGGGGGGGGGGGGGATTATGTTTATACACACACAAGCGTAAAATGATAATTTTCTTGCAATACAGTTGAGAACCTATTTGTATACTGGTGTTGTGGTCGAGTGGATACGTCGCCGGACTGCC